GGTGCTGAGGCTGCATCCCGGCCGGGGGACACGTGCTGGGGCTGGGGACGCTGGACAGCAAGGGGACGAGGGCAGCAGGGACCCGAGGAAGGACGACGGGGGACGTGTGGACAAGGGGGACAGCAGGGCACCCAGCCACATCCCCACCACGTACCTGGATGCCCGAGACGGTGAAGTAGGGGATCTCGAAGCGGACGGAGATGGGCGGCCGCCCCTCGTCCTCCTCCTTCTCCACGCTGGGGAGTCCGAAGTGGGCGCGCATGAGGTGCTCCTTCCCACCCTGCACAGGGACCCCGTGATGAGCCACCCGCGCCAGCCGGGCCCCGCGCCCCAGGACGGGGAAGGCTCACCGGGAAGGACTTGATGGTCCAGATGACGACGTTCTTCTCTGGGAGGTACTTGGCAGAGCCCACGCTGGTCTTGAACTTGGGCGAGTCGGCGTCGCTGGGCACGGGCACCGCGATCTCCACCCCGTTGGCCACTGACTGCTTCTTGAACTGCCCCTTGGCCTTGGGGAGGTAGATGGGGGGGCAGATGGGACTGGGTGGCCCCACAAGGCAGGGGTGGCCCTGGGGCCTCCAGGCAGAGGGTGGAGAGGGCCTGGGGTCTCACCTTAACCATGATCTCCACTCGGCTGTGCGAGAACTTCTCAATGACTGACTCGATCCAGATGAGTGGCTTCACCTTGCGGCACGGGAGGAGAAGGCTCATTCCCGTCCCCGTCCCCCCCTCACCCCTCCTGGGGCAGACCCTGGCGTCCGGGCCCACCTGGGTGTTGAGGCGGTAGGACATGAGCTCAAAGTCGCCGTCAGGGGGGATGAAGGAGATGGTGCGATCGTTGTCAAAGCGCGAGAGCCGCACGCACTGGTGGAACTTGACGTCCTCCAGCTCCACTGACTTGTTCTTGCCCCCTGGGAGCGGAGGGCAGTGGGCTCAGGCGGGGACAGGGCCGCCCGGCCCCCCCAGGGACGGTCCCCACGCCCACCCCCGGCGGCACTCACGTCCGGTCAGCTCGAAGAGGACGCGGTCGTTCAAGCCCAAGCGCAGCTCAGGCATCCCCGAGAGAAACACCTTCAGCTTGATGGTGCCCACCACCTCGCTGAGCAGCACACTGCCAGTGGCGCTCACCTGCGGTGGCAGAGGCCCCGTCACTGGCTCCGCACCCGGCGCCGTGTCGGGGCTTGGGACAGTCCCCGTCGGCGGCCGGCGGAGCCCCCTGCCTGCCCCCGGCCCTACCAGCAGGTTCCCAGACTCAATGACGTCGATGAAGAAATCCGTCTTCTTGTACTTGATGCCTT